GCAGATCTTTGTGTGGTGGCAAAGAATTGGAAATTGAGGGGATGCCCATCATTGGAGAATGGCTGAACAAATTATGGTATATGAATTAATAGAATACTATTGTGCTGTAAGAAATGATGAGCAGGTGGATTTCAGGAAAACCTGGAAAGACTTGTATGGACTGATGCTGAGTGAAATGAGCAGAACCAGGAGAACATTGTACACGGTAATAAAAACATTGTGCGATGATTAACTACGATAGGCTTAGCTCTTCTCAGCAATACAATGATCCAAGACAATTCTGAAAGACTAATGATAGAAAATGCTATCCACATCCAGAGAAAGAACTATGGAGTCTGAATGCAGATCGAAGCATATTTTCACATTTTTTGTTTTTTCCTTTTGTTCTGATTCTTCTTTCACAACATGACTAATATGGAAATATGTTGAACATGATTGTACATACATAACCTACATCAGACTGCTTGCTGTTTTGGGGAGGAGGGAGAGAAGAGAGGGAGGGAGAAAAATGTGGAACTCAAAATCTTACAAAAATGAATGCTGAAAACTATCTTTACATGTGACTGGAAGAAAAAATAAAATACTATTAAGTGCAAAAAAAAAGGGGAAGCCAGGAGGCCATGTCATCAGGAGGGAGCCAGGTCTCAGTGACAGCCAAAAGATAGAAGGAGTGAGAAAGGAAAATATTTATCATGGAAGCGTGTTTGTTACCTATGGAGCAGGCATTCTGGAGAGCACAGTGGGAAGGGATAGGTAGCCTTAGAAAGTGGGATGTTGAAAGGATTGGGTTGAGGGGAACAGGAATAAGGGATTAGGCAGGTGGGGAGAGAGAGGACAGAGAATAGGATTTGAATGATGACATCCAATAGTTCAGAATCAGTGGGACATGGAGGTTTTATATGGGTAGGAGTTTGTTTATCTCTGAGGAATAAATTCAGGTAGGTTATCAATGGGTTTGAGTCTTCTCAGAGCCTTAGGTAGCACTGGAGAGGGGATCTTTGGAGGGAACAGAAGAAATGATGTTTCTCCAGTCAGGAAGGAAATGAGACAAGGAAGGAAGGCAAGAGATCTGGCACAGTGAATGGCTTGCCTGCCCTGGGAATGACAGACAGTTAGTGGAGATGGCTGGCCCCTTCTTCACAGGAGTTGCTTCCCTGGCTGATGGTCATGAAGGCTTGGCTAGGGTGGGCTGAAAGGATGATTGGTGGTCTAGAAGGTACTGCCACTCCCAGGACCTCTCATCCTCGTTAATAGACGTTGACCAGCAGTTGTTGCCAATTATGATGAAGAACATGGACCCCTTCTCCACAATGACTTCTCTCCTCAATTTCAATATTATCCTGTAGACCTCAATCTTCCTTACCGCGCATATCTGGTCAGCTGCCAAATCCTTCCATTTCTCCCTTTACAACCTATCTCCCACCTGACACTTTTTCTCCACTCTCATAGCTAACATCTTAATCCAGGCCCTCATCACATCATGACTCGATTATTCCAACAACTTCCTGATTACTCTTCCTGTTTCATGTTTCCCATGACTCTAGTCAATCCTCCATACTGCTTCCAAAATAATTTTCCTTAAATAAAGATTTGACCAAGCAATTCCCCTAATTAACCAACTCCATGGCTTCTTGTTGCCGCTAGGATAAAATATGAAGTCTTGTGTTGAGCTTTTAAAGCTCCGGCCTCAACCTCTTCCTCCTACACTCTATGACCCAGAAAAACTAGCCATCTCTCCTTTCCTCACCCTCAATTCTTAATTTCCTGTCCTTGCGAATTTGCACTGGCCACCCCTCCACACCTAGAATGCACTCTCTCCTTACCTCTGCCTTATAGAATCCCCTTCTTCCTTTAAGACACAGCTAGGACATTGTCTTCTATATGGACATCCCCAAGGCTCCTGCAACTGCTATTACCCTCCATCCCAAACTACTGTGTATTTAATTCCTTTGTGTATATTTATATTTATTCACTTTGTATTTCTGTTGTATCAAAGTTGATCTGTACTTGTCTCCTTCATCAGAATGTAAATTCTTTGCAAGTAGGGATTGTTTCATTCTTTTTATTTTATTTTAAATAAATAATATTTATGTGAAACTTGTTATATAATTATAGTATATATAATATTACATAGTATAGAATTATTATTATAAATTATAATAAAATAAAATTTATTTAAATTAATAAATTTAAATGAATGAATGAATAAAATAATATTTTATTTATTCATTTTATTTATGCACAGTGCCTTGAACATAGTAGATGTTTAATAATAATGATAATTCTTATTGGCTGATTGACAGAAAATTCAGGTCTCCTAGAGGAAAAGCTGCCTCAAGCATTTTCTTTTTTTGGATTGGGATTTGATTTGTGAGTTTCTCAGTAATCATGCTTGCTTTTTTTTTTTTTAATATATCATGTTCCACTGTTTATTCAATTGCTTTTAATTGTGGGACAGAGCAAAAGTCCAGCCTTGGCCTCTACTTCCCACCATTTACCTAGCCCTTGCACTCTTCCCTGTAATGATATGGGAATCTCCCACACGGACCCTTTTCCAGCTCTGTCAGACTAAGGAACCAGCTTCATGAAATCAGTGGGGTTTATGTTTCCATTTAGCAAATTACTTTGCTTTATAATTTCCTTCAGTAAAGGGCTGCACAGATATGAGTATAAGGCAGGAAATGGGTAATTGCTTCTGGAACCAGGACTCTTCATTGGGAGTACAATCGTGTGCTATGTATCAAGCCTGAGGTTGCCATAGAACCTGTTGACTCACGTTTTTTTCTTCACTTTCTCCCATATAGGCTCCAGCACTACCCCTTTCTATGGAAAAAGAAAACCAAAAACTGGCCCTCCCATCCCTTAAACTTTCAACAAATGAAGCAATTGGGTGGCCTGCTAGAGACTGAGACGGGAAGAAGGCAGATCAAGACAGCTCTCTCAATTCACTCTAAGCTGCCTTTCTCCCTAATTCCTCCCATTTCTCTTCTCCTTTCCCTATAGGGCTGTCAGCATAAAGTCTGACCAGTAGTGAGTGAGCTGTGTGGCAACTATTACTGAGCAGGCTGACCTGGGGGACTAGGCTATTTGTCTCAGAATTTCATACACTTCCAACACCAAAGAGTGATGGTAACCCACTGATCTTGGGATGCAGAGAGCTAAGCCCCAGTGATTATAATATTCATTACATTACTTCACTAACTCAAAGATTTGTCATTTCATTAGCACATTACCCATGAAGATAACAACCATTCCCCAGGCATCTTGTCTATCCCTATTAGAATGGAAGCTTTTTGAGGGAAAGGACTACCTTACTTTTTGTATTTATATTCCCAGCACTTAACACAATGCTTGGCACAGAGTAAGTACTTAATAATTTTTCATTCATTTTTGATTGGTCAAAATTGAGAGTGGTTTATTATCCTCATTTTACATGAGAAGTTTAGATGAGGAAACTGGCACATGAAGACTTTGAGAGACTTGCCCATGATTACACAGCTAGTTAGTGATAGGACTATGACAAGCTATTTTCAGTCCGTCACTCTTTCCAGATATCAGAATTTGAGAACTGATCATAGCACCCATGGGTGCAATGGTATGCGCATGCACACACACAAATAGATTTTACAACCATGAGGTTGTAATACAATGCTATATAGATCCCAGTGTTTACATAAACATCTGCTAACTAGTATTTACTAAACACTAGGTTCTAGGCTGTGTAGAAAGAGAGTTTTAAGGATGGAATTAGGCAGAGTTAACAATAGCATAAAAATAAACACACATGAAACATTTGTAGAAATAACTATTATTATTATTAACTTTTTGTGGGGTTGTGTTGAGATCTGTTATTTATCCTCTTAAGAAACTCCTGGTGTAGAAACTCCTTTTCCTCTTGGAGATTAGCACCATACCTAAAACTTTGAGTTTTAGAGATTTACATGGGAGCACTGAAAGGCTAAGTAATTTGCCAACACTCACACAGCTAATATATGTCAGAAGGAGCACTTGAAACCAGGTCTTCCTAATTTGGAGGCCAGACTTCTAGCCACTGCACCGTGCTAAATCATTTATTATAAATAAGGAAGGCTACTGCTATCCACACCAGGATATGAATTTCTGACTGTAAAAGGAAGGCTAAGGGATGGTACTGGTTTCATTTGTCATGTTTTATATACGTAAACTACCTAGCAACCTCCACTTGGGAAGACTCCTTTCCTAAGTAGAAGAAACACTTGTATGAGGGGCTGTTTCCTAACATCTTTTTGCTTGTTTGTTAAGAGTTAATATTAAACGTTTTCTCTTGTTTTATAAGAAGCCTTATAAGATCTAAGAGGAGGTAGGAGAGAAAGGATTCAAGGATCAGAGAGGGGCACTAGCCTTACAGAAGAAAAGGGAAAACTTTTCTGTCACCAGAGGGAAGGAGGAGAGAATGGGTAATGCTACAGGAAGTTATGAGGAATGGAAGAAGTAGTATAAAAAGACAGTCTCAACTTTCTTGTTGAAATAGAAGACAAAGTCATCTGCTGTTAGTAGAAAGAAAAAAAGTGCCTTGTGGGGAGGAGGAGGTTGGGGGTTGAAAAGAAATGAAAAGATTTAGAACATTTGCTATCAGGAAATGATATAGGGTCAGACAGTGGAATTTCATAGGACAGGATCTTGGAGGTGATGTATTCCAAGAGACGTTAGAATGTAAGATGTGACCATTCCAGTGTGTGGTTGACTTGGGATAGAAAAAGAGGTCATTAGAGCAAGCAGTTGAAGGAACTATGAAATTAGGTTGTTTTGAGTGAGTTGTCAATATAATTATTGATGTCTGTGAGGATGATGACAAAAGACGGGGTGGAGAGAAAGACATTGAGTTTCAGACATAAAAAGTTGGGAGAGGGTGACATAGAGTGTGGTAGATGACAGCAATAAGAATGGGAAGAAGAAAGGTAAGTTGAGTCAACAAACATTTATTAAACACCCACTATACAAAGTGCTGGGGATACAAAAAAAAGAGGCCAAAAATAGTCCCTATTCTTGAGGAGCTCATAGTCTAAAGAAGAGGGCAACCTCAATGGAATTCATGGATTTTGAGAAGGTTGGAAGTAGAGGAATGTTCTGGAAATGGCAGCAACCACCTTGCCTCCTGGCCCTGTGAATCCGGCAGTTTGAGAGGAGTGTCCAGTAGAGACGGCGGTTCTCAGGAAGGAGCCAGTTTCAGCTGGTTTAAAAAGAATGTTGGCTGAACAGTGTTGATGATGTGGGGGATTTTGTGGAGAGCACAAGGAGGGTTCTAAAAAGCACTTATATCTCCCTTGCCTTGATCTTTTCTATCATATCCCTCTGTGACACTCATTTTTCTCTCAAAGCCATGTGAAGGTAGTAAAGCTCTTAATCTATGATCTAGATGATAAACTCACACACACTGCTGTCCCGGGGAGACCAGGAAGCTTTGTTCTTAAACAAAGACCAGTGGCTCAATAGGGAGACTAGAGGATATTTCTAACCCTAAGTCAGATAGTTGGCTGGTGCCAAGGACTTTGAGTGAGAGCAACAGAGGGAAAGTCAAAAGCATACATTTAACCTGAGGGTATCTATTGGATTTTTCCTATTGCCTTGTGGTCATTGCCTTAGGCTAAAAGCTTCCCTTGCAAGGGAGAGGCTCACTATCTATCATACCCTAAGCAGAGGGTACTAGAGAGCAGATGATAACACCAAGAAGCTGAATAGCTAAGGTCTATCAGATGACTGTAGAGACTAGCTCAGTAAACACCCTGTTTAAAGAACAGCTGAAATGCTTAATAGAATAACTCAATGGTCAGCAGAGACCAGAGACATAGTGACCGGCATCCCTATGATGCCTAGCAGATTCACAACAACCAATAAAGCATGGAGTCACAATGCTCAACAGAAGGCAGTATAAAGACACTCCCCATGGATATCTGTAGCTTTCTAGCATTGGAGATAGGAATTATTCTGACCCAATATGTCCTCATGTGTCTTCCACGCATGTGCCCAGGTGGCACACATGTTCTCAATGTTGGCATCCTCCCACTGAAAGCATGGTGACTGGCGAGGAAGTAGACTCCTCGAGGTGCGGGGACTTCTTTTTTGTTACTTGATTTGCTATCTGATCAGATGTCTTTTGATCTGAATTAAGGTGTTTGTTTTATTTGACTATAAAAACATCAGTGCGTCTTGTGAGCTCTAGTTTTGAGTGGGTGTCGATCCGTAAACTCATACGAAGTGATGCCTAGTGAAGAAAGCAGAACCAAAAGAATGTTATATATTGACTACAACTATATAAACAAAACCAAAAACAACAGTTTTAGAGACATATAGACAGATACATTAAGCTCCTACTACGTGCTAAGCACTGGGAATATAATAAAAAGTCAAAAAGTCTTTTGGGGTGGGGTTAATATTTGGAAAATAGCAGAAGCTTACAAACATGTACAACCCTTTACAATCTACGTTTTTGTCTGCATAATTTTTTGTGTTAGTCTTTTATTTTCCTGCGCTCTGGTTTACAGATTTGAATACCTATACTTGTTAATAGGGTAGCTAGGTGGCATAGTGGATAGAGTATTGGGCCTGGAGTCAGGAAGACTCATTTTCCTGAGTTCAAATCTTCCCTCAGACATTTAGTTGTGTGACCCTGGGCAAATCACTTAATTGTGTTTGCCTCAGTTCCTCATCATTGAAATGAGCTGGAGAAGGAAATGGTTTCAAACCACTCCAGTATCTTTGCCAGAAAAACTACCCCAAGTGGGGCCATGAAGAGTTGGACACAACTGAACCAAAAAAAAATGGCAAATACTTCTTAATGGAAACCTGATATTCCAAAAAGCTGGGAAACATTGCGCTAAGAAATAAGGAACTGCATTTATTAGAGCATTTGCTCTAGAGCATTTGCCTTTTAAACTAGAACTCAGGAAGGGATAGTGCTTTATCCGAAGGAGTACGTTATTAATAATGGGATTTCAGATAACTAGGAGAGCAAGGGTGTTTTGGGGGTAGAGTAAACCACTGATGTCAAAATCAAATAGAAACGTATCCCTATTGGCTGGTCACATATTGACTTAGAAAACGACATATTAACATCTTCTATGTTGCATTGTATTTTTATTTATTTTGTAAAACGTTGCCCAATTATATTTTAATCTGCTTCAGTTTTTCAAGATCTGACAAGTGTTTGACACCTCTGGATTAGAGTGTCATTCTCAAATCCTATCCCGTAAGCATTCCTTTTACAATATTCCTTTACAAGTCCAGACCACCTTACAAGTACTGCCCGCCCCCAGTGGAAAGTCAGCCGGCTTCATGTGAAACAGAAACAAACTGAATTGGCACTTTCTGAAGTGGCAAGTGTGGTGGTGGTGGTGATGGGGAAGCTATTAGCCTTTCACCATCTTGCTCTATGCCAGAAGATGGAAGTATGGTTTGTGCTCATTAAATATCTTCTATTTATCCTGTATATAACTTGCTTTGTACTTAATTGCATGTTGTTTCCCTCATTAGACTGTAAGCTCCCTTTGCCTCTTCTTGTATCCCCAAGGCTTAGCGTAGTACCTGTCACATAAGAGGCACTTAATAAATGTTTATTGATTAATTGATTTCCTTCTTCTTTAAATACAAAAATGAATAGATTCTGATCTAAAGTGGTTCTAAGCAGGAATTTACTGAAAATTGAAAAAAAAAACAACCAAAAGGAATAAAACATACAACTCAAAAAGACTTTCAAAGTGAATGTATTTTGTACTATTTCTAGGATTAACCAGTAAGAATTTTTTAAAAGAGGTGGTGTGTGCATAGAACATTGGGTCTAGAGCTAAGAATACTTGAATTTAAATCCTGCCCCAAACACTTAGTAGCTAAGCTGTGTGACCCTGGCCAATCACTTGACCAGTGTCCGTCTCAGTTTCCTCATCCGTAAAACAGAAGGGCAGCTAGGTGGTATAGTGGATAGAGTGCTGAGCCTGGGGTCAGGATGACCTAAGTTCAAATATGGCCTCAGACACTAGCTATGTGACCCTGGGCACGTCACTTAACCTTGTTTGTCTCAGTTTTCTTATCTGTAAAATGAGCTGGAGAAAGAAATGGCAAACCACTCTAGTGCCAAGAAAACTCCAAAAGAGCTTGTGTGACCTTGGGCAAGTCACCTAACCCCAACTGCCCCAAAAAGAAAAGAAAAGAAAACTCCAAATGGGGTCAACACAACAACACCAACAACAATTAAATAAGCATAGTAATAACACCTACTTCCTTGGGTTGTTGTGAAGATAAAAGGAGACAGCAAACACTTTGCAAGCCACAAAGCGCTATCTACATGCTACCTATTGTTATTAACTCACATTTCTCTAGCTTTAAGGCATGCCAATTGCTCTCCTCACTCCCTCATTGTAAAGCAGGTAGAGCACCCCCTTTACCAACACTGAAGCAGTGTCTTTACTCCTAATTCAAAACGGAGGCGGTGCACCAAGGCTCCAGCCCAGCGTCATCCCTGAGCAGCCTACCGCTCACCAAATCCTGGAGGCCTAGTGATGTTATTTTTATGCTTCCATTAAGTAAAGCTACAATGCTTTTTCTGGTGGAAAAGTATATTTAACTTGTAAAAGTCTGGGGAGGAAGAGCAGATTGCTGTACTAGAAAACCACTGCTTGCTCTCGGAGAGATAACGACCCAGTCTGGTTTGTTGCCATCACCACTGTGCAGTTCTTAATATTTTAGAAGGGTTTAAATATTCACAAGCCTTTCTGCTTCCTTTTTGCTGCCACAAAATGGTCAACAGTGATGCGAAGGGCTGCAGGCTCTAACAAGGGTACTGGAGAAAGGGTCTGGTTATCTTCCGAGTTTATGTATCTGTGTCATTAGCAGGCTTAACTAGCTTGCATTTCTTTCCTTTTTAACCCCATGGTAACACAGATGATAGAGAGAAAAAAAATTATATAGCAAGAATGAGAGTCGATACATGAATGTTTATCTAGGAATATAAATGGGGGTGGAGGGTGGTCCTGATCAAAGAGGGAACCTTCAGGCATGCAGACTCCCTCTACCAATGATGATGATGACCAATACTTCTGTAACTTGTAATCTTAGAGAAGTTAATTGAGAAGTTAATTGGCCCCAGGGTCTGGCGGCTGGCAGGTATCTGATGCTGAATCATGGTATCATATACTGAGAGCTGGAAGAAACTTTAGAGATATTCTAGTCTGCTTCCCTCATTTGAAAGATGAGAAAGATGAGTCCCAGAAAGGTTAGTGACTTGCTTATGCTTCTAGCTAGTGTGTGTCAGAGACAGGACTTGAACCCAGGTGTTCCTGACTGTAAGGCTAATCTGTTATTCCCAACACCCACAATGCCTGTCTCTCTGTATAATGAATTAGAAGGATGCAGCATAGTTTAGGGAATCCTACTTCTGATACTAGCTCTGTGACTTTGGGCAAGTACTCCTTAGGATGGAAATATGACTTGTACTCTAGCCTGAGCAGGGATGATGGAAATATTGGGTTCACCCAGGACTTTTGTACTAAGTTATAGGCTCCTAACGCTGATCCTTCACGTATTTGGTATATGACAATGATTTATAAAACCTTCACTGGGTCCTACCATCCCCTCAAACGATTTTCCTTTCTCTCTCCTCTCTTCTTTTAGCCAAGCTCCTTGAAACATTGTCTGTGCTCCTTGCCTCCACTTTCTCTTCTCAACCCCTTGTACTCTGGCATTCAATCTCATCATTCATCTGTTACCAATGTTACCAATGACCTCTTCATTGCTCAGTTGGTATATTCTCAGTCCTCATCCTTTTTGACCTGACCCTTTGAACACTGTTGACCAACCTCTCTTCCTGGATGCCCTCCTTTCTCTGAGTTTTCATGGCACTTCTCTCTCCTAGTTCTCTTCCTATATGCCCGCCTGTTCTTTCTTGGTCTCCTTTGCAGATTCATTATACGTATCATTCTCTATAACTGTGGGTGTTTCCCCAAGGTTCTGTCCTTGGGTCTTTTTTCTCTCTCTCTTTGGTAACTATCAGCTTCCATGGGGTTAACTATCATCTCAGTGCAGATAACTCTCACATCAATACCTACCCAGTTCATCTTTCCCTCGAGCTTCAGTTTCACAACACCATTTTCTCATTGGACATTTCAAACTAGATGCATCTTAAACTCAACATGTCCAAAATGGAGTGCTATCTTTTCCCTTAAACTCCTCTTCCAAACTTCCCTACTTCTGTCAAATGTATCACAATTTTAATAATGTCCCAGGTTTGTAATCTTAGCATCATCCCAGAGTCCTCATTCTCCCTCAACCCACATATCCAAGCAACTGTCAAATCTTGTGATTCTTCCATTTTCATGATATATCTCCCATCTGACACTTCAATACTCTCACGGCTACCACCTTAGTTAAGGCTCTCATCACCTCTTCACTAATCATCACAGCAGACTCCTGATTGGTCAGCCTGCCTCATGTGTTTTCCTACTCTAGTCTTTCCTCCACACTGCTGACATGGAACCCTCCCAATCAACCAAATCAAAATAATGGCTTCCTATTGCCTCTAGGATAAAATTTCAATTCCCCTGCTACCTCTGCTATTATAAATCTGTTATAAACTCATCTTCATGAGTTCAAATCCAGCCTCAGACACTTATTAGCTATGTGACCCTGGGCAAATCACTTAACCCTGTTTGCCTCAGTTTCCTCATCTGTAAAACAAGCTGGAGAAGGAAATGGCAAACCACTCCAGTATCTCTTCCAAGAAAATGCCAAGTGGGGTCATGAAGGGTAAGACATGACTGAAAAATGACTGAACAACATAGATGAAGAAATAGATTGAGAGATGTTAAGTGTCTTGCCCAGAACTGATCGATGAAATGAATAGTGATAATTCTAGGGGATGATGATATGTGCTACCTTACTCCTGACAAAGACGTGATAGAATCAAGATGATGAATGAGACATATGTTTTTGGATATGGCCAATATGGGAATTTGTTTTGCTTGAGTATGCATGTTTTTATAAGGGCTTTTTTTGGGAGGGGGAGAGAAAAGAAATTGTGGTTAACTGAAAAAAATAATAATAAAAAAGAAACTGCCTCAAGACTTAATTGGCTCAGAAGTTCAAGGCTTGAGTCATGGATATAGCTTCATGATGGCCTAAGTAGAGAACATGTTGGCTGGTCATTTAGCCTTTATCAAGCTCCCGCGAGGATCTGGCACTTCACGTGAGAAGTCAACAGTGACTCCTTCAGTC